TCTTGGCTTATATCGAAATCCTCCGACATTCTTCTTTACAAATCCTCGTTTTGTACTTCTAATTCATGACCATTGTTTTGTTCTCTCCCCTGCGTCTCCGCGTTTTTCACTTCTGAGCGGCGCATGCGCAACGCCGATCTCAAATTTTTGGGTGAACTAACCCTTTAAGATCAGAAACTAGGGGTGTAACGACTCGTTTTCTCGATTACAAACCTTTACAAACCTGAAACATGGCTTTTTGAATCGTGAATTGCCAATTTCGGACAGTAATCGATTTAAAACGCTAAGAATTGAATGAATCACGATTTCTATAGCGATTCAATGCTTTCAAAATATATACACAGTAAATTACTACAACGAATTATTGAAGACCTTGAACAGTGTTCGTGCCCTCGCTCACTGACATTTTTTGAGCAGCTGATGTGTGATCTCTCCTTAGTAGGCTACTCGTGGCCAGTAATGCTAAAGTGAAGTAGTTTTACTTTTCTGTAGTTTTTCAATGGCTCTCGGTCATACCGACGACATTACCTGAGCAGTCGAAAGCTGCGTAGGCTATTTATTGCATGGATGAAGCAAAAATGTAAGTGTCTAAAGCATACGCACAGTTCCATTGAATGAGAAATGTGTTTTAACAATGTTGTTAAACCAAATGTACAAAGGAAACCGTGAAAATAACCACAGCTTTAACAACAACCTTGAAATAAGAGCGCAAGGTTTATCTGATAATCAGATGCATGAAAGTAGCGTTCGTTGCTATAGAAAACAGACATCGGGCGCGTTTTCTTTCAGAATCATCATTCGCCGAAGGAGAGGAAAAGTTAAACACTATAGCATTTAATTTGATGAAAATGAGAAAGAAGTTTTCGCACTGAAAGAGAAGTGATCTCGCGCTCATAGAACTTAAGACATGCCAGGCTATATCTGCAGCTAAACTGAATAAAAAGCAGAATGAACGGAAACATTAAGATAATAAACGCAATAAATAAATACAATTTATGAATAATGCATTGCTAATTGACATAATTTATTACAGTACAGAAACTATAAAGTATATTTCCTACCTTATTCTGTGCAGAAAATTGAAATAATTGTTTGTCGTATTTAAAACAATCATAAAATTGCCATTAGGAAAAAATTATAGATTAAAAATGATTGATTATTGTCCAGAAGTGTATTTGATTTCTTATAGCAAATTCAAAGTAAGAGATAAGAAAATAATTCCTTGTAAACAAATTAAAATACATACATACATCAAATTATTGTATTTGATTTTTCTGTCACTTCTGAAATGATGGCTACGCCACTAGTGTGACAAAATGTTAGCATATACATCATACTTTTAAAGCTCTTTTTTAAAATCTTGGCTTACATACATTTCTACATATGCCATGTCATGCCATAGCATCATTAAACTAGCATCTAACAATGGACAAGTGTTTTTTTTTCTCTAACCTATGGTTCTGTAACCATAAAGGCTGCCGTGTAATTTGCCCCCTGACTAAGCATTTAAATAATCCTGTGAATGCACTTAAAGAATGCAGAATCAAATCGTTAATCAAATCGAATCGAATATAATTGTAAATCGAATCGATTCGTTCTGAATTAGCAAAAATCGTTCTTGAATCGAATCGAAGACTTATGAATCGTGAATCGAATCGATTCGCTGTCTACCCAAAGATTCACAGCCCTATCAGAAACACATTTAAACTCACCGTGGGGATTTAGGCATCAAGGCCTTATTAAGCTTGTGCTGGAAAGACAATCCTTTGCCTTGATCCTCCACCACCTGATTCTTGCATTGCTCCACCTCTTGAAGTTTTGGTTCACTTTTCTGAACCAAAACAGGAGAAAGTTGATTCTGATTTTTTTCCCTTAATAATAAAAAAATTTGAAGATTTAATAAGAAATCTGCAGCTCTAAATAGAGAGAACAATTCAGTTATAACATTAGAAATGGTACCTTCCTTACATTGTTAAACCTTCCTTAGTTTCTGGAGCTGACTGTGTGGCTTGCTCTGGCATTTTAGTGGTTTTCGCAGGCTTCATACTGAAGAATAAACATTTTAAGTTGAATTTGTTTTTATCATAATACAAGAAATGTGATTATATATTTTAAATCCTATTAATATTATTTATAAGAAAGGTTAAATTCAATGTTGATGAACAATACTGTTGTTACACATTAATATCTGACCTTGATAAAGAACCAGCAGTTGCTTTAGTAGTTTTTCTAAACTCAAGCCTTTCTGGTGGTGAAGCCAGAGACCCGCTATCCCTTCAGAGCAGAGAAAATAAGTGAACAGTTAGACAATAAATCAAAAACAGTAACATTTATGACTCGTTTTATTCTTACCCATTAACAGATTCCTTGACCGGTTCTGACTGCTGAGTGCAGGACCCCTTGCTTAAGTCTCCACCAATGGGTTCCTCATCCTCAACAAAGAGAAGAGGATCAGCCACAGGTCTGACTCCATCCACCGTTTCATCCCTCTCTGTTGCCAAAGCAATAGGGCTGGATGTCTTTATGGGAGCAAGTTCTTTAAATGGACTCTCTTTGTTAGGATTGAAAGAAATATGACAATTATTACAGATGCTAAGCAGGTATGAGACAGGTGAGATATGCTAAATAATTAACTCTTTTTTTCTGCTTTCATGGTCGGGCAAGTAGTTCAAATTTCTACTTGCATTGCCAATACAAATTATACATTTACTTAATTTAATTGCATAATTTTATATTTGCATTTAGAATTTTCAATTACAATTTCATTTTTGCATTTATTAATATTTCATTTCAAATTATCAAAAATATGGTTTATAATTTAACATTTTTTGCTGGTTTAATCAAATGTTATGTTTACTTTAAAACAAAATGTGCAATAATAGCTAGTAATTATACACAGTACAACTGATATAAAAAATGTGTCCAATAATACAATCGATTAGATGTAGGTTTACCTTTATAAATCATTTCATCTTCTTGAATGCCATTTTCCTGGATTAAAGCATCCTTGGGCACCTGACAATCAGAGTCATCTGATTAACAATCACATTGTAGCACTAAGAACAGACTGACTTCTAATGATTCACTTCATGTGTACCTGTTGAGATGATGCCTTCATCTTTTCTGGATCAGAAGAACTTTCACTTTTCTTCTGACTATTCATGCCAGTGCTTTTGGGCAAAGGAGAAAGCAGAGGCAAACCCAGCTCAGAGTCAGCATCTACCAATAACAACAACATGAGATATTGTTTCGCACAATGAATAGCATGAAAAAGCGACAATGAAATGAATGTTTTAAGCAATTAAATGAATGTAAGAATATAATTACCAATGTCGTCGAAGAGATTGTCAATGTCACGCAAGGTGAAAACCTTATCGATCTTGAAGTCAGAACTGACTCTGAAAACCAGCAGCAACATATGATTAAATTACTTTTACTTGAACTAGTTAAGATATTAACCAATACAATAGGTTGTTTGTTATGAAAGTCTAACATTACTTACATTTCATGTCCTTGATAATAATGCAGTTTCTTTTTGGCTTTGACCTGAAATCATTGATTCAAACATCACAAGTTCATTTGAAGAATAAAATACATAAAACTAACTCATGGTAACTATACATTTATCATATAATTCACACATACGCACACACACACACACAACCATATCTATATATCTATCTATACATCTATCTTATCTATCTATCTATTAATTACAGTTCAAAAGTTTGGTAAGCTTTTTCTTTAACATTTCTTTTTTTCACTCTGCATTTGTTTGATAAAAAAATGCAGTAAAACTTTAATAATGTAATATGATTATTACAATTTAAAATAACTGTTCTTATTCCGTTTAAGTGAAGATCTTCTTCTGCTTTTCAGCAATTTCCATTGGTGATATCGCCTCCTCTACATTCATGCCTTTGTAGAGAGGATGTTTAATGTGCCTCCATATAACCAGCAACACTTTGATCGCAAATAGTGTACAAGTCAACCCCAGTAAAACAGCTGTGGAAAATAACAAAATATTGTTGTCATGAAATATGGCACAACAGATTAAGAACACAACGGCAAAGCCATTATCACATTCATGCTCACCTATGTAAATGCCGCTGCGGCTTGGATCTGCAGATTTAAAGTTCTTGGTCATGTTTCCACTCAAGGCCACAATAACAACAGGGTAGACTGTCAGAATGTATCGCAGGTGCTTTTCAAACACAAAGTTCTCAACAATGAACCTGTAAAATAATAATGCATTAATCTCAAAATGTATGTCTTTCATTTATTTAGCATCCTTCATTTATTTGAGTTCCATGGTCTTACCAAGAAATAGCTTCACCCAAAAGAATAGAGAGAGAGAGACTGATCATCACTGGGTCTGACTGGGTCATTCCAGCATCATATCTCAGCACAACAGTGAAGTTAATCAGAGTGGCAATTGTTGTCCATGTTGTGTATGTTGCAATGCCATTCTGAACCTGCAAGATTAAAGATGCTAAATTAAAAATGCATAATGTTTTTCAAATGGTTTGAGATGCTATTAAGTAAAATTGTAATGGACTCTCACCAATATCCGTATGCACCAGAGGTCTACTTTGTGATATTTGTTTAACCAGGCTCCATATTGTTTGAGTCCATGACAGGAGAAGATTATCAGCAAATAGTTTGTGAAGGCAATCAAGGCAAGGATAATGAATGCAGCAATCATCACCCTTTAAAGAAATGCAAAGAAGTTTATGAGGATTTTGCAAACAGTCAACAAAAACGAGAGAGGTAAGTATAATATAATTATAAAGTAAGTATTAATATATAAATTATATAAACATGTTTTAAGTCCAATGTATTGTACATACAGTATATGTATACAATTATTTTCCTCAAATATTAGTAGAATTTCCTCTTTTAAAAATATATTGAAAATATATTTCAATTTTATTACTTGAATATACACTGGTAGCCAACAGTACTGAAAACGGTAATATTGTGAAATATTATTACTATTTAAATGAACTGTTATTTATGTATTTGTTTGTTTTAAAATATTATTTATTCCTGTGATGCAAAGCTGAATTTTCATCAGCCATTACTCCAGTCTTCAGTGTCACATGATCCTTCAGAAATCATTCTAATGTGCTGTTTAAGAAACATTTCTTATTTTTTATCAACGTTTTCACAGTTTTTGCTGTTATTTTTAAATTTAATAAATACCGTTTAATGAACTTTCTATTCATCAAAGATCACGGTTTTATTATGGTTTCCACAAAAAGCAACACAATTTTAAATAATGAGAAATGCTTCAGCATATTACAATGATTTCTTAAAGATCATTCGAAGACAGGAGTAATGACTGCTGAAAATTCTGCTTTGCCATCACAGAAATTAATTACATTTTAAAATATACTAAAATTGAAAATAGTTATTTAAAATTGTAATAACATTTCACAATATTGCTGTATTTTTCATTATATAAATGCAGCCATAAGAGACCAATAACATTTAAAAATCTTTAATATTACAAACTTTTGGCTGCCACAGTATATCAGAATTGTTTTTAAAATGACATAAACTTACTGTCTGTCCCACAGAAGAAGCCAGATTATATTTAGCAGCATGTTTACAATCCAGGTTATGAAGAATCCATATGGCAACACAGCAGGACTGCAGTACATTGGACCATAAACAGTCCTGTGAGCACAATATACATAATCGTCTCATTAACTGCAGCATGTTATTATTACAAAATCACATTTCATGCCACTTTATTTTTTGATTACCATTTGATTCTAGCTCACTGAGTTCTTACCTCCTGCAGGTAGTGGTGAGGATGTAAACATGCATGAGTGACAGCCAAGTGTAGATGACACCCCAGATTGAGAAGGTCCATCCCGAGGGAGTGATTTCTGTATTGTATTTATCTGATATCGCTCCAGTGTTGTTCCGAAAAGGACCTGCAAATAGGAAAAAATAAAATTGTAGCGATATATTTAACCAAAATGTAATTTAGCACCTAATTCATACTGGAAACAGTATTATATTTATCTTCTGCACATACCAGTTCCCGGTCCAGCAAGTGCGTTGAATATGATGCAGATGATGAAAATGACAACAGAAAGGACTATCTTTGGATAAAAGCGTCTGCTAAATGACTAAATGTAAATGTAAATATCAGCTCAAAACGAAGCACCCTCACATATGCATTATTAGTAATAAGTAAATGAAACATAAAGACACAAAACTTGTATCTTACTTATACGTCTGAAACCAATTCCGGAGTCTGAAACCAAGCGTTGAAGAGAGAGGGAAGTTACCGTAACACTCTGAGGACTGAATAACACAAATAATACTCCCGTGGGACTGGATTTATAAAGGGCAGGTTGTGTAACTGTATGACTACACGTGCTCAGTATGTCATTTGAATACAGGTGTACAATGGCTGTCAAGGCTACCATTTTGTCTTTGCACTTCCGATGGTTATGAAAAATCCTTACATAATTAACTGATCTTACACTTTGAATTAACAAAAAAATAGTAGCAGATGGTGTAGGTTTTTTTCTTTTAAAATAGTTTCTGTTTCCATTTTTTTTTATAAATTCATTAAAAGTTTTATAAAGTAAAAACTACACTTTTTATCCACAGGTACATGTTTGATAACATGGCTTAGTCATTAACTGTGTGTGTAATAATGTCTTTAACAGTTAAGGAAGTAAATGTACACATGGATGGACACGATGAAGCATATATCTATTATGAAACACATCTGAACGTGTTGAAGAAGTGATATTGCCACTTATACACAGTTTAGCAAAACATGTTTACAGTCATGTTTTTGCAGAGTTGCTTAACCTGTTATACATTTTGCAAAGTTTGGTTTCATCTTAAAGATTTGCAGATTTCCTTAGAAGACCATGATTGACTGGTATATGTGTTTGGTTTCATTCAAATGTACTTAACAATTCGTGTATCTTCAAGGGCAACCTTTTGCATATTAAGTTTCAGTACAAGTTGTTCTTTACCAAACATAAACACATAAAATAAAAAAAAATAAAACAACAAAAAAACTATAATAATGTATACAATACATGACAAATATTGTAGTATTAAAAAAAAAAAAAAAAGTTCCAAAAATATGTTTAAGATTCATTCAGTAGTCACAGAAGCATCAGTAGTCATCTGGAGTCACATGCGTATGTAGAGTTTAGGAAAAACCTGCGTGAATTGTTTAATAAATTTAAAATTTGTATTTTTTTTATCGCGTTAAACAATTATTTACATCAAAACTATCCACGCACTAACATGTTACACGTGCTGCAATACGAGGATCAAACCACTTCGCGGGGGATGATGAAATATGAACAGAGATACATTACCACAGGAAAGATCAATATTTTACGTTTAAACGTAAATATTCATCATATTTAGACATATGTTTAAGCACAACAGCCGAGCAGCTCTTCTCTGCTCATATACTGCAACACTCTTTAGTCTATTCCACAAAAATGGTCTGTTCCAATGTCTCGTGATCAACAGGAAGGAAACTTTCCATTCAGTCAATTTGATGGTGAGAAGATATTACTGAGTATTTTTGTTACCTCTCAGTATATAAAATGCCTTTACTTTGTGGCGGAACAACTGAGGCGAAAGATGCGAATGAAGAGGTGCAGAAAATATGCGACGAGGTTGGTAACTTTTCATTGCAGATAAATAGAAATAGTGAAGTGATGTGTCATATAACAACAAACGTAGTTCCCGTTTTTCCACAGATAAAGTCTCATGCCGAGGATAAAGCTGGGCGCAAGTTTGACGTTTTCGCCGCAAAAACTTTTAAAACACAACTTGTTGCGGGGACAAATTACTTCATTAAGGTAAGAGAAAATCCCTGTGATTTTATGAATGAACTTATAGGAGTACCATGTTAATGTACTGAATATGTCTGTAAAAGCAAGCCTCAGATATAGTCCTTAACAGCTACAATATCTTTTTAAAATCATTGTTGTAAATGATCTGTTTCAGGTGCATGTAGGTGGGGATGAGTACATTCATCTACGTGTCTATAAAACTCTGCCCCATGCTGGAGAAAAACTGAAGCTGCACAGCATTCAGACATCCAAGGCTCATCATGATCCCATTGAATACTTCTGAAGCAAACTAAGAAAATCATCATAAATACAATACTCATGCAGCTCAATGTTGCCATTTTTACACAGTAAATGTTTACATTAACACCTGAAGATGAACATTTATTACATTCAATGACCTTACAAAATGTATTCATTGACTTATGGGATCATGGGTTAACACTACCAGTGAAACTCACTGTGAATTAAGCAATCCTATAAATACATGCATCCATTATGTGTGTGGCATAGCTGTAAAATAACAGTTCATTTTCTCTCCCGCATACTAAAAACATCACTTAACTCACAACTAGTTACCTATGTCAGTAGTTTGGTCTTCACATTTTGGGCTTTGTAATTAGTGATACTAATGCAGTAAACACTTATTTTATACTTAACTGCCTATAATGTACATTATTTACATAAAATGCATGCATGGATGGACTGTTTTATATGGTGTTTTTGGGTGGGGGGCGTATTTGGACTTGTTATTGAAGTTATCATAAAAGTGTAGAATTATATGAGCTGGGTTTTATCAGTGTAAAAATAAAAAACAAAAATAAAATGCTAGTAAATAAAAATTCAAAATGTTAAGTAAATAATTTATATTTTATAATATATTTATATTTTTGCCATGTATATAATATAAATGTTTAATATACATATACATGTCTGGGTCTAAATTTTAGGATGGCCCCTCACACAAGGATCATCATATTTGGGAGTCTGGCATTTAAAAACTTCAAACCCAAAACTATTTCATGGCAATTCTTAACTGTTTAAGTTTTGATGAATTAGTGGTTAATTTGTTAGTATTTATCATTTGTACGTTTTTGAATGATCTGCTCATAGTGATGGTTATGTTTATGGGTTGGCCTTCATGCCAATATTTTCTAAAAATTATGCGTTTTCATAAAATTCACAACGTATGAATTCATACAAAATCACAAACTCGTAAAATAGTTATCTCCCACAGAAGAAGTCCGCCTATATTCAGCTGTGTGTTTACAATCCAGGTTATGAAGAATCCATATGGCAACGCAGCAGGACTGCAGTACACTGGACCATAAACAGTCATGTCTTATTTTGGATGCGATTAATCGCGATTAATCGTTTGACAGCACTAGTCAATATACATAATCGTCTCTAACTGCAGCATCTTATTATTACAAATCACATTTCATACCACTTTATTTTGTGATTATCATTTCGCTGAGTTCATAACTTCTGCAGGTAGCGGAGAGGATTTAAAGGGGACCTATTATGCTTTTTCACTTTTTAAATTTTAGTCAGTGTGTAGTGTGTATGTTTGGGCATAAAAAAAGATCTACAAAGTTACAAATCTCAAAGTCCACTCCAAAGGGAGATACTTCGTTTAAAAAAATTTTTTTTAAGAACTACAACGAACGGCTTGTTTGGACTACAGCGTTGTTTTCCGGGGTTTGTAATGTCACAAAGCGGCCCA